AACGTTTTCTGTTTGTCTGTTTGTTTCATATATACTTTATTTTTATTTAATTTATTTTTTTGTTGAGAGTATTACATATGCCCCCATTTTTCCCCATTGACCCCCTCCTTCCCACTGCTACCCCCCCTCATGCAGGTTTTTGTGTGTATCCATAGTTCATTCCTTTTCATGGCTGAGTAGTATTCCACAGTATGGATGTACCATAATTATTTTAAACATTCACCTGTTGAAGGACATCTGGGTTGTTTCTAGTTTGCAGCATTACAAATGTAGCTGTACAGGTTTTAGAATATAAGTTTTCATTTCTCTGGGATAAATGCTCAGGAGTTTGGTTGCTGAATTGTGTTATAGTTGCATGTTAGTTTTTTAAGAAACTACCAAGCTGTCCAGAGTAGATAAAGGAATCCTTAGATGTAAAAATTTGATAACCAATGCTTTATGCAAAGCAGCTATCAAAGCTGATATAAACATAATATGATACAATTTTCTTGTGTTAATATCATCAAGTATTTTTTTTTCTCAGACTTTTGAAAATTTAAGGAAGTGATACGTTATTCTTTATAATTATAGGGCAGGGTTCAGTATGTTGACTGCTTTGCAGTGCCACAAATAAATGTGCTTTGTTTTCTCATATATTTATACAGGGCAGGGCAAAAGTAGGTTTACAGTTGTTTGTATGGACAATGAGCCTGAGAACAGTTTTTTTAATGCATAATATGTGCCAAGAACTAGGAATAGAAGAGATAAAATAGACACTATTATCTTTACCTTCAAAGAGGTGAGAAGATAATAAGGAAGCAAGCAAATTTTGTAGTTGCTGAAATGCAGGTATGTGTGAAGAGCAGCAGGAGACTAAGGTAAGGGAGGTGGACACGAGTAGGAAGGAGGCAGATAGGACTAGACAGAGGAGGTAGAGATTGAACTAAGACTTAAGGAGTGAGTAGGAGTTTGTCAGGAGTAGCATGAGAGGAAAGGGTATTCTTAGATTCTTGGCATTGAGGAGTCAAAGGATGTTTCTCATCTAACCATAATAATTTGTTCATGATCTTTTTTTCCTGAGCTGGATCTCCTAAATAAGGACCAGTGAAGACTCTTTCAGTCTGAATAAAAAATAACATCAAGAAAAATGATCTGAATAATAATATAGTTTTGGAGTGGACAAATTAACTGTGAAAACCATAAATCTTTCTGAGAGACTTTATGATGTACCTAGATAATCTTATCCCATAATCCAGGAAGACCAAGCATGTTAATCATAACTGGAGTTAGGTAGTAAACCATGTCTTATAACTCCCTTTCCATTGCACTGGCTATATTTTTTTAAAATATGTTTTCATTGATATTTTATAGAGATGGGAAGGGTGAGAGAGATAAAAACATCAATCAACTGCCTCCTGCACACCTCCTACTGCAGATCAAGCCCACAACCTGGGCATGTGCCCTGACCAAGAATTGAATCGTGGACCTCTTGGTGCATGGGACGACGTTCCACCACTGAGCCACACCGGCCTGGCTGCACTGACTATATTTCAAGATATTATTTAAAATTTGTTTTAATATTCCCAGCCAATTTAATAGCTTCCATGTCTTTACTATTCCTGGGATATTAGCTAAACATATACTATAATTTGTAAAGATATACACTGTGCTACATTTTACATTTTGGAAAATATTTAAGACTTATTTACTTAACTTGTATTTTAATATTTCTAATTGTGCACATAGAATATTTGAAATCAAAATGATATAGGCATGGACATATCCTTCTATTTATATAGATGTATTTCTGGTCACCTAAAAATACCCAGGGTGAGCAAGCATATTGTCACCCAATTGGTCATTCAGCATTTTTTGAGCTTCTCCCCTATGGCATGTCCAGCTCTTAAAGAGGGAGTAAAATGGGGGACTTAATAGTGAGCAACAGTGTAAGGTATTATAGTGAACTTGCACACAAAGTGGAAATAAAATCATCTGCCTGGATTAGGAATAGAGGGGTGGGACTGGGAATTGGAAAACCAGGGTCAGGCTACTTTTGTCCTTAACAAAACTCACACACCAAGGCTTTCATGAAATACCTTAACTTGTTCCTATAATTACTTAATTTATTATTGGGTTATTCTGAAGCAAGAAAAGACTTAATTTATTATTGGGTTATTCTGAAGCAAGAAAAGACTTGATTTATCTTCCTTTTCTCTTACTAAGAAATTATAAGTTTTATGGCTTGGGGCAAATAAAATTTTGTCTAAACTTTAGTTTCTTTAATAATAGTAATAATAAGTAACACTTATATAGCACGTGTGTGTCAGGTGCACACACACACATTTATTATTATTCCCATTTCACAGATGAGAAGGAAACAAATTTTGTAAGGTCACAAAGCTAGTAAGTGACTGGGGTATGCTCTTAACTACTTGTTCACATGCACATGTTAGCAATTTACCCATGATCAGTTTTCATTTAGTGTTTGTTTTGGGGTAACAGATATTTCAGGGCTGGAGATCATGCAGTTGTTAATTTGGTTTATTAAAATGAGAACATGTTCTTTTTCCTCTTGAAAAGATTTTGTGATAAAATGAAAATAAAAAGAACTAAGTTATTTAGAGATTTAGAAAATAGCTAAAACATAATGGTCTTAGAAGAAAATGTGTTCTTAGTCACTATGTAGGAGGCTAGAATTGTAGTATATTTTCCTGAAGAAAAGAAAAATTAGAAAAACAACTGTCACAAAGAAGAGCAAAGAGTATGTGAATTTTCTTGCTAATTGAGAAGAAAACAAGTGTCTGTAAACATTCTGTGTTAAATACTTGGGTTGAAGCAGCAGTTTGCCTGAGATAAATATTTCTGTCTTTAATCTCAGATACCTTGCACTGATATTTAAAAAGTTAGTGATGCCCAGAGGATAAAGAAGCCCCATGAGTTAGAAAATACAAGGAGTGTCTACTCTCTTAGCGTTGGCACTGGTAGGAGTCTAGATCACAGGCTGCTCTTATTGTCATTATATTAAGTAGTTTTAAAAAAACACAGTTTATCTGAGGACAGCCATCCCATTTGAATCCTGTCTCCCCCCCATCATAATTCATGGCAGTTCTTGTTAAATCTGTTAAAATGTCAATTTTTTTTTAAAAATAAATATGCCAAATAAATAAAATAGCAAATACGAGGAGAATTTTATTATTGAAACAAATGCTAGTGGCGTTAACATGGTGTCCTACTCTTTCTGTCCTAGGAGCAGGGACACTGAGTCTTATAATTATTCAGCTCCGAGTACATTTTCTTTGCCTGAGAGGTCTTGATCTGCTCCATATTCCCTTAATGTATGTGCACGTTCAAGCTCCTGTGAATTAGCATCGAGATGCCCTTGTCCATTTTTCTCTCGGATTAATGCTTCTTGTCACAATTCAGCAGTTCATACTTTTTCCCCTTTTGAGAGTATTTCAAGTCACAAAGCCAAACTGAGTTAGATGCCAATTCTCCTCCCCTTTCTCTGTATCCACAGAGCATCCTGTGCATAACTTTCTCAGAGTATTTATTACATTGCATTTTAATAATGGGTTTGCTTAACTGTCCTCTCCCTACTTCTCTACCCTTGTTCAATGTTTGGCACATACTAGACACTGTAAATATTTACAGATGAATGAATAGAGACAGCTGCTGCCTTTAGAGTTGACTTTTTAACCCCTGGTGCTGCAGCAGCAGGAATCTGGAAACCATTATCTGAAGGGGAGCATTCCTTGCCAGGCCTACACTAAACTGGGGTAGGCTGTTTTAAGAGTCTTGTGTTGAAAAGCGCCCGCGCGCGTGTGCACACACACACACACACACACACACACACACTGCTGCTGCTCTGAGCAAGCCAGAACAAATGGAAGTGTGGAATAATATGAAGTGGAATTGAAATTTATAACATGTCTTATCTGTTTAATTGAATTACAGCAGGTTTTTGCTTTTAATGGCATTAAATAGCATTGTATTTTATGAAGTTTGCATAGATGTTTATATATGCTATGCTGATTTATCTTTCTATAATCTGTATTATATATAGCGAGAATATTCAAATCATACATATTTTGAAATCCATTTCTCCCCAAACGTAGTGTAGAACAAAGATCATTTTGTAAACATACACCGAATTATCCTTGAGACTATATTTCAAAGATGCAATCTTTGGTTCAGTTTTATAAATGCATAAAATCGGTCAAAAACAAAGAACCATGACCGGGATTGCCAGTGCAAATGTATTACATATATACCTCAAATTGCATTATTAGCATACTTTGTAGATTCGTTGGCTTTAAAACAATCATTGAGCCCTGGCCAGTGTTGCTCAGTGGTTAGAGCATCGCCCCTCACACCAAACGGTCTCCAGTTCAATTCGTAGTCAAGGGCACCTACCTGGGTGACAGGCTCAATCCTCTGCCCCAGTCGGGGGACATGTAGGAGGCAACCAGTGGATGTGTCTCATACTCTTGGTGTGCTCACACTCATGGTGTGCTTGTGCTCACTCTCTTAAAAAAAAAGAAAAGGAAAAATATCCTCGAGTGAGGATTAACAACAAAAACAAAATCATTGAACAGTGAAATATTTGGGGATTGCAGGTAGTAAAATAAATTGATCGTTTCTTATGTCACATCATATAATATATGGCATCTTTGCTTATAATCACTTTTTTTTTCACTGATAACTTGGCAGTATAACTCTTTCTTTGCCAACTAGCAAATTAATTTAACTTTTATGTTTTATGACCAATTTATTGCCTGTTCTAAATTTTATTGTGATTTCTTCTCTAATTTTTTAATTTTTTTACTGTTTTTGAAAATTTATAATAATTTTCCATTACAGTTGACATTCTACTTAGCCATCTTTACTGTAAGTCCAACATGGCCTAAATTTTAATTCTTTACTAAGAAAATAAGTTAACTAGTAATATTATATTAATACTTTTAGCCTATCTTGATGAATATTAATTACTTTTTTATCTTTGGTTTGTTTCGTTTATCTAGAAACCTTTCATTTTAGTCAGATACATCGCTGTCTAAGTGGAAGTGGAAAACTAACACATGAAGATACAGAAACTGCTTCGGCTGATTCAAAATGGGAACAACAAGTGATGAGATGGTGTCTGTGGAGCACAACTCGTCCTCCTCCTTCAATCCTCTGTGTTTTGAATGTGGTCAGCAGCACTGGACAAGAGAAAATCACTTGTATAATTACCAGAATGAAGTAGATGACGACCTGGTCTGCCATATATGCCTTCAGCCTCTGCTGCAGCCCCTAGATACCCCCTGTGGGCACACGTTCTGCAGCAAGTGCCTCAGAAACTTCTTACAAGAGAAAGATTTCTGTCCATTGGACCGCAAAAGACTTCACTTTAAGTTGTGTAAGAAGTCTAGTATCCTAGTTCATAAACTTTTGGACAAATTACTAGTGTCATGTCCATTTTCTTCAGTGTGCCAGGATGTGATGCAGCGCTGTGATCTGGAGGCACATCTTAAAAACAGGTAAGTAAAAAATGTGAAAGAAAGATTTTATTAAAAGGTGATTCATACAAACGAAAACTTGATTTAAAAATATCAGGGCATCTGGTTTGGCTCAGCCGTTAGAGTGTCAGCATTCGGACTATATATATATGATAGACTTTTTTACAAGACAGTTTGGCAGTTTCTTTAAAAAACTGTAAATGTGTATCTTTTTATATAGCTTATTATCCTAAGAAAATAATCCAAAAGAAGGAAAATTATATATAAGGATGTTCATTGCAACATTGTGCGTTGTTCAGTAAATTGGAATCAGTCTAATCACAATAGAGGAGGAGTTAAAAATACAATAGTACATCAACTCAGTGGGATATTACGAAGCCAATAAAAGTAATAGATTTGTTGTAATATGGAAAATGGGTGCATATGATTTTATTTGCCTGTGATCTTATAGAGATTCTGTGTTCAGCTTTGGCTTGGTGGTATAGTTGGTTGGAGTGTCATCCCATACACCAAAAGGTTGTGGATTCAATTCCCAGTCAGGACATATACCTAGGTTGTGGGTTTGATTCCTGGTTGGGGAGTATACAGAAGGCAACCAATCAGTATTTGTTTCTCTCTTCCTTCTCTCTAAAAATCAATAAACATATCCCTAGGTGAAGATCATAAAAAAAAAAAAAGATTCTGTGTTCAGGGACTAGTCTGAACAAGAACTAGGGGTTGGAAACTTGAAAACATTTAGTGGCTATTTTTGAACTACTAAAAACTTTTTAAATGGTTAAGTAATTTAGTTAACTGATTGTTTAGTGAGTTTTATTATTTGACTTTGGCAAAATTTTTGATCTTTAAAATTCTTTATACCCTTAGGAAGGATTAAAGTACATCTCATGTCACATAAAGTGACAGAAATAAATATATTGATTTCTGAATTTCAAAGTTAAACCACTCATGCAGTATAAATCTGCAGTGATTTTGAGTTCTGTGGAAACAGTGCATAGTACAATACAGGGTGGGGCAAAAGTAGGTTTATATTTGTTTTCATGGAAAATAATACAATAATTAATAAATAATACAAGAATAAACTGTGTTTTGTGTACTTACAACTATAGCCCTGGCCGGTTTGGCTCAGCAGTTGGAGCGTCGGCCTGCGGTACAGAGACAACTATAAACCTACTTTTGCCTCGACCTGTATATTGGAATTAGAAATTACAGTATATAAATCTGTTATAGAAAAGCTTGACGTTATACTCACACATAAAATCATAGAATTGAAGGAGATTAATCTAATCCCCTCACTTTACAGATCAGGAAACTGAATCACAAAGATTTAGTGCTAGTTAATGATATAGACTTAAACTTCAATATTCTTTGTTACCATTCTAATATACCATGCTGACTTTTCCACAGGTTGAATCATGTTCTCTACTGCTGTATGGTAAAAAGTTTTATAACCACGGAGTACACATGTTCATTCTGTTCCTAAATATCAGTGTTATAAATGAGTGGACTCCTTTAGAATAATTAAGATATATGAGAAAGAATGTTATTGAAATATCAGAAACATGAAGAGTTATAGAGACATTACTTAATTCTAAGCTGTATCGTTTAAAAATAAGACAAAGTATAGGATAGATATAATATAAACATTTGAAAATACATGTAGCATTACGTTTTTGTGTATCTTCAGTCACCAGAAGGCATAGAATTGCAACATGGTAACAGACCTCCTGAAAATAAACACCAGACTTTTAAATATACTAGGTCAGGCCTAGTTACAGCTGCGGCTGAAAAACATTTTAGGTTTTTCTTATTTCTCTCAGTAGAACTGTTCTTTTTTAGGGGATAGGTTCTTTTGTGACTTTTATGAACATTAGTTATGGGATGTTAGAGGAACTGAGCAGAGTCTCAATTCTGTTACTAATTATTTTGATAGCAGTGAGATAAAAATTTCACAGAATTTTAGGAATATTCACTTAATAATTTAATATAGGCATACCTCGTTTTATTGAGCTTTGCTTTTGTGCTTTACAGATGTGGGGTTTTTTGTTTTTAACAAATTGAAGGCAAGAACCTCAACCAGCAAAAGGATTACAACTTGCTTTATTGTGAGACTTGCTTTATTGTGGTGGTCTGGAACCAAACCCACAATATCTCTGAGGTCTGCCTGTGTGTAGTTGAACTATCATTAATATTTTCCATCAAGATACTTATGTTGATGATGTAAAACCTTGGGAATTGCAAACTGTTCTTTTATTTAGAGGTAGATAAAGGCTAAGCAATTATGTCTAATTGAAAGTTCCATTTTCCAAGTGTGCTTATTAATATTTGAGCTACTAATTTAATAATCTCCAAGTGTCTTAAGCCTATATTGTGAAGATACATTGAAAAATGTGAATGATTGGAAAAGGTAGGTGACTTGATATAAACACCAAAAAGTAACTATTCATTATTAAAAATAAAAAGGTAAAGTATAAAATAGAATTTTTATATCTCATTTGAACAGATATGTGATTAACAGCCTGAATTTTCTCCAGTTTCTCAATGAAAAATGTTGAAATTACTAGGACAAAAATGTATTATTCAACACTCAGTGCTAAATAATATGTAGTTCATTTAGCAAATATTTGTTACCTACTATGTGCCAGACACTGTTCTAGTTGTTAAGCAATTTCTGTGAACCAATAGCAGGTTAGAGTCTACTGCTGAGTTGTAAATTCCTTCAGGGCAAAGACCATGTGTTTACCAGTCTTTGAATTCCCTTGTCCAAAGTTGACATTCACCTAATGTTTGTTCAGTTAAATTGTTAACCTGTGTTCTGGTTATCCATTGTGGAGAAACTAACCACCCCAAATATAGTGACATAAAACAAGTATTTGATTCTGCTCATGGATTCTGTGAGTCTGATTCAGACAGAGCACAGTAGCAATGGCTTGTCTTTGTTACATTATATGTAGGACATAGCTGGGAAGAACTGAAAGACAGGGACTGCAACATTTGAAAGTGGAGAAGCTACTTCCAAGATGTCTTCTTTATTTACATATCTGGCACCCTGATGGAGATAACCAGCAGTATGGGCTCAGTTAGGGCTTGTCAGCTGGAGAGCCTAAAGGTAGTCTCTCCAGCAGGGCAGCTTCAGGGTATTTCAAGTTCTTACATGACACTCAGTATTCCACCGAATGAGGCAGAAGCTGCACAGCCTTGTATGATCTTCAAACAGCATCTCTACTCTGTTTGAAGCGGTCCACCTAGATGCAAGGAAAGGGGAGATAGTCTTTAGTTTGTGATGGGAGGAGATAAAAATATTTGCAGCCGACTAACTAGTTTTAAAACTAACACACTAGCCACAAGAGTTATGTCGTGACGCACAGGGTAAGATTGACTGTGGCATCTCTGTACACCTCTCATTAATTAGTTAGGAATTGATAAGTTTCATTGAAATGCATAGAATTTCAGCTCCAGCAACAGTGATTCATTGTATAAAGGCTATATGACTATCATGCGTCTTTTTGAATTTTTAAGATTTGGAAATCTCTTCATTATTAGTGAAAATATAACATTGGGAGTAGTTTGTATAAATCTGGTAATTTTGTGTTTAAAATTACCTTCCCTATTTGAATGACATTCTACTCTTAAGAAATTTGTTTCAGTTTGAGAACAGCTGACATTTTTGGCTACAGCTAAAAGTAAAATGTTTATGAAAAATTAATGTGTTTTATTTATTTTTAAACTTATCTTTATTGTTGAATGTATTACAGATGCCCCTCCTTTTTCCCTTATTGACCCCCTCCTCCTCACTCTTGCCCCCCTCCTGCCTTCCCCACACTATTGTCTGTGTCCATTGGTTATATATATATGCATAGAAGTTCTTTGGTTTATCTCCTCCCATCCCCTCTCCCCTCTTTCCTTTGAGGTTTGTCAGTCTAACAACCAATTTGTAATTTGAATTATAACAATCAATTCTTAATCTCTTCACCTTTTTCACCCATTCCTCCAACCCCCTCCCATCTGGCAACTAACAAAAAGTTCTCAGTATCTATGAGTCTGTGTCTGTTCTGCTTGCTCATTTTGTTTGTAGATTCAATTGTTGATAGATATGTATTTATTGCCATTTTATTGTTCATATTTTTTATCTTTATTTTCTTCAAGAACCCCTTCAATATTTCATATAATATTGGTTTGGTGGTGATGAACTTCTTTAGCTTTTTCTTGTCTTAGAAACTCTTTATATGTCCATCAATTCTAAATAGCTTTGCAGGATAGAGTAATCTTGGTTTTAGGTTCCTGTTTTGCATCACTTTGAATATCTCTTGCCACTCCCTTCTGGCCTGCAAAGTTTCTTTTGATAAATCAGCTGACAGTCTTATGGGAGCTCCCTTGTAGGTAACACAGTTTTTCTCTTGCTGCTTTAAGATTCTCTCTGTCTTTAAGCTTTTGTATTTTGATGATGATGTGTCTTGGTATGGGCTTCTTGGGGTTCATCTTGTTTGAGACTCTCTGTGCTTCCTGGACTTGTATGTCTGTTTCCTTCCCCAAGTTTGGGAAGTTTTCTGTCATTATTGTTTCAAATAGGTTTTCAGTTTCTTGCTCTCTTCTCCTTCTGGCACCTCCATGATGCAGGTGTTGGTATGCTTGAGGTTGTCCCAGAGGCTCCTTACACTATCCTCATTTTTTTTTTTTTTTTTGGATTCTTTTTCTTTTTGCTGTTCTGATTGAGTGTTTTTTGCTTCCTTGTATTTCAAATTGATGGTTTGCTTCTTGGCTTTACTTACTCTACTATTGATTCCCTATAAATTATTCTTTATTTCAGTTAGTGCCTCCTTCATTTCTGACTGTGTATTCTTCACTTCTGACTGGTCCTTTTTTATGCTTTTTTTTTTCTTTTCTTATTTTCACTCGACATTTTTGCTGAGGACATTTTTGCAATTATTTTCAGATAGAGCAGGAGGGAGAAGGGGGGAAGAGAGAGAGAAAAACATCGACATGAGAGAGACACATCGACTGGTTGCCACCAACACAACCCCAAC